CTCCAGACCCTTCAGCAGCTTCGTTGCCCTTCTCTGGACACTTTAACTGTACTGTAGCTGTATGCCACCAGTGATAAATACATTCTGGGCAGAATTGGAACAGGCTGCCCAGAGAGGTGGTGGAGTCCCCATCCCTGGAAGTGTTCAAAAAATGGGGAGATGTGGCACTTGGGGACATGGTTCAGTCTAGTCTACCCTTGATTGGTTTAGTGTGGACTTGGTAGTGTAGGTTCATGGTTGGACTGGATGATCTTAAAGGGCTTTTCCAACCTCAGCAATTCTAGGATTCTATGATTCTACATGTTTGATGTGGGTGATTCAGAACAGTAAGTGGGAAGTACACCGCTCGCACACCCTTACTGGCCGGTCCCACCAGATCAAGTGTGTGGTGAAAACGTCCTGTTGCTACGCTCTGAGTTATGTGAATACAACAAGATATTTTTTTCATGTTGAGGCTTCTTATGAAATACGTTAAGATTCAAATGCGGTATTCTGATGAGAGATGAGTTACACGAATTACAAGACAAATTTCTGTGACTTTTTTAAAACACCTTGTAAAATGAAATTTTCATGCTAAAACATAAGCAGATGTGTCTTAGAAGTACTCTTGGGAATAAAGTAAAAAATAAGTGTGAAATACTGGACTTGAAAAAAATAATTTTGGTTAATGAGCCCTTTACCATGCAACTGTGCACAGGCATGCAATGGCTAATAAGTTCTTGTCATCAAAAGCTTCCCCTTTGGCCACAGTGTAGTCTATAAAACAAACTACAAAAGACCAACAGTGTGAAAAGCCACTGTGAAGTAAGAAGCAAGTGTGAGAGCTCCAAAGCCATTACCAATACCTTGGGCTTTGAAAATTGTTAGGTAGTTGATTTATTAATGGAAAATTCTATTTTCACATTAGCTGTACTTTTTTCTGGGTTTTATAATCCTTCTTTACAAATCTACCCATAAGAAACTAATTTTTAAATTTGTGCAGGGTTTGAACAAGTGCCCAGCTGATGATCTTAATTGGCCATCTGCAATGATGAGTACACCGGACTGTGGTGAAATCACTGGTTCAGGTAAGACTAAAATAAGCGTTTACCTTGCACGTTCTTTTAACATTTTGTAATATGGTTGACATTTTTCATTAGTACTTCAACAATTTCATAGCTGTAACACTGTTAAATACAGTTCCGCTGTTATTTTGGTAGAAACGCATTGATCAAAATCTCTTCATATTTCAGATGCAATTTCACAGCAAGTAAAACTTCTCTCTGAGGTAGATGAACAGGTCAGCTAAGTATAAACTTTGCATATCTAATTTCTTAGGGCCTCTTAATTTGTTCCAAAACAGTGCAATAATTCAGGGCTAAAGGAAGTAGTCAAAGGGGAATAATAATTTTCTGTTTCCTGTTTAAATCTGAATCGCTTAGAGGAGGTATTTGTGATTCAGTGAACATACCTGGAGATAAACATTTAAATATTAAGGTGATCGCTAAGGTTTGTTTTGTTTGTTTGCTTGTTTTAAAAAGTGCCTGGGGACTCTGGGAGTTTTAATCAGAGTAAGATTTAGGCACTTAAATATTTTTGTGAAACTGGTTCTGAATAGTCTTTTTAAACACAGAAGGATTGAAGTCAGTATTCTGTGGAAAATCAGAGCGGATTATCCCAATTGCCTTGACTGGCTCTATTTTATCTATAAAACAATGAATTTAGTGGAGTGGTTTCCTCAAGCATTTGATTCTTCTCATAGCATCTTTACCAATGTTTTTCTGCTTTAGTATAGCTCAGTATAAGCTTTTTTGCTTTTTTTTTTTCCCCCCCCAGTAGCTTCCTGTGCTTCCCAGATAGAAAATGCTGCTTGGTGCAACAAAATGGAATATATTTCTTGCAGTCCTCATAATGATTTTCATATCCCTGAGGACTAAACTTCTTTTAGCCCTAGCAGCTATTAATGTACAGTCAGGACTGTAATAATATCATGATGCAGCCAAAGCAAGGATAGTGTTAGGTGACATCATACCTAAAACAAACTGCAGAAATGCCCTGTGGCCTACTGTGCTGCTCTTACCTGCCTAAACCACTGACCAAGTACTGCTTGTACGGTACTTTAAAGATGTTCTAAGAGCACAAGGTTGGTTGGCTTTTCTTCCTCCTTTGTGTATGAGTTAACTGCAGAAACAAATTGCAGGTAGTCTTGCACAAGGTCTCTGAAGCTGTTTTTACTTAACTCAGCAGTATCTGTCAGAATAAGAGGGAAATGGCGTGAAGAGCCTAACGGAAGGCATCTTGGCTCTACCGATAATTCTAGCAAAACTTCTGTTGACTTGAGTGCAGTTATCCGTATCTTTAAGGCTATCTATTTAGCAGTGGCACTGTATCTGAAGGCAGTGGGGTATTTTTCACTTGCGTTTGTGTCTCTTACTGGTTCTGCAATGTCTTGATAACACACACAGTGGATGCACAAAGATTTAAACTTTGGTTCCTGATAATATATAAGCTTGTGTCACCATCTATGGAAAAAAAATTACTCTTGCGATATTTCTAAGAGATAAATATGTATCTATCTAAAACATTATTAATTAAATAGCATTTGAGATTAAATTGTGGAACCTGTTTTAACAGAGTAGAGAAACAGTGAATGAATTGTATTCAAAACTCTACAAAGAGGCTGCGAAGATCAAGCAGTGGAAAGTAACTGTAGAGTCAGAACTAAAGCAGAAAGAAAGAAAACTGGAAGAAAATAGAAAGACCATTGAAGCACAGCATAAAGCCATTCAAGAATTGCAGGCCAGTATTGTATAATATATGTTGAATATGTAAAGTAAAGAGAAAGCTCTTCCTGATTTAGTATGAAAATATTGATCATATAATTAAATATTAAAGAATGTTGCAGAGGTTGAAGAAATTTTGAACTGTTAATGTGATGACTTCAAAGGCGGCATTTGGCTAGATACCAATGACCTATATGGTCATTAATAACCTACTGTTATTAAAGGAGAAAGTGGCATTTGGGGATTTAAAAATGGTTTTCCTCTTTTTAACAATGTGCATTCCATCTTTGTATTATTTACCTGCACATCATACTGTGGGTATGCAGAAACGTGTTCAAGACTGAATAAACTTTCATCCTCCTGGCACGTGTAAAGTATGCTCATGCATATTTCTGTATTCAGCACATATAGGAAGTAGTGTGCTCTGCTTTATCTCAGTTTCTTATCTCACTGGCAGTGATGGACAGCTTTGGGACTGAAATACATATTTCCGACAACTTATTGGTCCTTCTTTTTGTTTTTGTTTACATTGGCTTTGGTAACCTGAGTTGTCTTTGGTTGTTTGACTTTTGCCTTGAGGAAATGGTTATTCTGAGAAGGGGTGCACACATGTAGTGTGTGAATGTGTGTATGAATAACATAACTGCAAGTGTTTCAGTTGCTGGTAAATTATTGTTTATTATTCTGTCTTTCATGCAAACCGTAACAAAAGATGGCTCAGCATGTAATATCAGATAAAACAGATTTCTGTCTTCTAATGCAGAAAATTACTTTTTCAAGTGAGATTTGAGAAGTGAAAGTATATTTCTAGTATATTTTTCAATAACAATGTGTTTGTTCCCTATGAAATTAGTGTGAAAAAGAAAAACTACATTTAAAACTGGAAGACGAGATATGTGAAAATAAAGATCTCTTAAAACAGTAAGTAATGCAGTCAAATACATTTTTTGTGAAAAGAATTAGCTTTTCATGCTGAGAACTGTATTAGTATGGGAAGTTACATATAGCTGTTAAATTGTACAGGTTGTATCATCAGGGCATTTATGTTGTTACTAGTTAGATATGCAAAGTACCATGTGCTCCTGTGACAACATATTAAGGTATTTTCTTCCCTCTTCTAGAAACAGTGCTTCAAGGCATCTGTGTAATCTGCTCAAGAAAACCTGTACTCAGTTCACAGAGAAGTCCGCCAAATGTAAATGGAATTTAAATTTTGATTTATGAAAGTAAATGTACTTCTAGCTTTCTCTAAATTCATGAAGGAAAAAAGCTATCATTCTGTTCCAAATACATTCTCCGATTGAGATAAAGTGTATGTGGCTCTGCATCAGAGTGAAATTAGAAGTGAAGCCATAAGTCTGATACATAGATGTTTTGCAATACTAAATCCAGAGGGTTTCTGAAGTCACTGTGGTTGTTTGCTTAAAGGTTACAAGCCTGGGAGCTGTTTAGGTGTCTAAACACTGATACAGGTTTCAGGCAGTGTAAGCAGCCCTGGCCAGCCGCTGGGAGCCACTCCAGAGGAGCGCAGGGCTCCTGAAGTCTTGTCAGGCCACTGATGTTTTTCAGTCCCATCCAGATACCTTGAATATATTAAGACATACGAGGTGGCGCTTCATGCCTGTGTTTAGGCAGTAGAATCTACAGTAGTTACCTTTCCCGGCTCTCTTAAACAAATTTCCAGAGTTGGCGCTATCCTGTTTGGAGCAGTTACAGATTCATTGGGGAAAAAAAATGTCCAAACCCCAAGATACTCTGAGTAACTTGTATTGTTCTCACTAAATTGGCCAAGCCAAGACAGCTGGATAACTTCACAAAGTTTAAATTCTTGAGGTTTTAAAATATGTTCTTGACTTGAGATTTTATTCTATATGAAATTCAGAATTGTTATTACAATCTTTAAAATTTTACTAACTCGATCCCGGATGCTTAAGAAGTGTCTGTTTCTTTTTAGCCTTGCTTCTGCAAACATCTCTGTATAGATGTACTGTACTTCTTTGATAGCAGTGTTTCTTACTGTTCTCTTCTATAATTGTTTTGTTAGGGAAAAATAATCTCAATTACAAAAATGAAAGAAAAAAAGATGGAGTATTGTTACAATTATATAATGACAGTTCTGTGGTCTTGGGTATCTTTGCTGATGGGAAGAACGTCAGTGCTAAACCTTATATTACAGGTTTTGAAACACTAACATTTTTGATACATTAATATTCAATGACATAACACTATCACAATTAATAAATACTGTTATAAAAATTTATCCAGAATTACACTATTCACAGAAAAAGTGAGATTGGGAAGGAAATTTGAAAAGCTGAGCTTTCTTGATGTTTCAATGGAATATACATTTTCTCCAGATTCTATAACTTTTGGCACCCTGTTTCATAATGATTTTTTTAAATCAGAAAAGAGCCTTTTCTTTTTTAATTCCTCAATTATTATTAATTTAATTCCTTTTTTAATTCATTGTGCTGTTTAAGCATAATGGCTTTGACAGCTCGCATTCTTTTTCAAAAGGAAAACTTTGTGGTACGTTCTTACTTTCATAGATGAACATGAAAAAGAAGCAGCAAAACAACTGTATGTGGAACTTAACAACAATCTTGAAGTAAGTGACGTAGCTTGTTAAAAGGCTCAAATGTGATCGAGTTACGTGGATATGTTGAGATACCCGAGTTATGCGTGTATGTTGAGATACCATTTGTACAAAGAACGTTCTCTGATAAAATGATTAGAACCTTCATGTGTGGTGCAGGAAGTCAGCTTTTCAGTCTCTTTTCAAGAATTGTTTTTGTATTGTATGGGCCACGTTAATTGGATAAAATGCAACGGTGTTTGGGATGTAGATCCATATGATCTGTGTGATATGTATGATCTGCTTAGTGTTAGGTGACTGCCATAACTTCAGTCGTCTTTTTGTATTCTGTGTCACCTATCTGGTGATTTCACAGAATGGCTGAGGTTGGAAGCATCCTCTGGAGAACTTCCGCTGCTAAAAGCAGGGTCAACTAGAGCAGGTTACATAGGGCTGCGTTCAGGCAGGTTTTGGGGTCAGGAATATTAGGGTTATTCTATTAGATAATTTTATTTAATGTAAAGTGCAATATAAAACAAAGATGAACAAAGAAAATTAATTTCAATTTTGTGTGACACAGAACAACAAAATTCATTATGAAAACTGATGATTTTGTGTGGAATAAGAAGTACAAGGTGTGAATATTCCTTGACTTAGAGAGTTTTTACCTTTTTAATTTGTGAAAGGAGTGCAGTCTTGCCAAATAAATTAGTTCATCATATTTTTGTTATTAATTATTCCAGTGTGGAAGGTAAGACCCTAGTATACTTATAATAGAGAAATGCGAGGCATCATTGTTTGGGAGTGATGAACTTGATACTAAGCAGAGTCAGAGAGTACATGGTATAATGGTTAAATATTAATTATAGGTTGTTGTAGCAACTAAGAAAAGCACAACTCCTCCATTGTGTTAGGGATCTACAAACATGCCCCAGTAAAAATATTTAATCCTTGAAATTGTTTAGATCTTGAGTATAGAAATTCTTAAACTTCCAACTTTGAATAATTTAACATTCTGTTAACTGGAAATATGTTTATGCTCTGGATTTTGTTGTTAACAAAATTTCTCCTACAAATATGAATGTGCCTGTAATACTGTTTGTTTATAATCCATAAACATAATGCTTCATTACTGAAAGGACTTAGTTCTATATGAGTGTATATATTGAATTTTATTTTTAGAGAATGATAGCGGCATTTCAAGAGCTTCGTGTGCAAGCAGAGAACACCAGATTGGAAATGTGTTTCAAATGTGAGAATTCTGTTTATTGTGCTTGCGCTGCAGGCTTAACAATTGTGTACTTCATAGATTTTATTGCATGCAGTTTCAGGCCAGAAAGATGCTGTCATGGTTTAAACCGTCGGCAACTAAGCACCACACGGCTGCTTGTTCACCATCCACCCCAGTGGGATGGGTCAGAGAATCGGGGCGGGGTGGGGGGGAAGTAAAACCCGTGGGTTGAGATAAAGGCAGTTTAATAGGACAGCAGAGGAACAGAAAATAATAATCATAAAATGATAAAAGAATATCCAAAGCAAGTGATGCACAACGCAGTTGCTCACCACCTGCTGACCGATGCCCAGCCCGTCCCTGAGCAGCGATCGCTGCCCCCCGGCTCACTCCCCCCAGTTTCTATACTGCCCATGATGCCGTATGGTATGGAATAGCCCTTGGGGCAGTTGGCATCAACTGTTCTGGCCGTGCCCCCTCCCAGCTTCTTGTGCCCCTGGCAGAGCATGGGAAGCTGAAAAGTCCTTGACTAGCGTAAGCACTGCTCAGCAACAACTAAACCATCAGTGTGTTGTCAACATCCTTCTCATGCTAAATCCAAAACACACAGCACTGTGCCAGCTGCTCGGAAGAAAATGAGCTAACTCTATCCCAGCTGAAACCAGGACAGATATGAAGTGCTAGAATGGTGAACTGTTAACTCTCTGACAGCGTGGACCCTCTTTTATTCATGCTGCCTGTCATTAGATGCCTGGGCCCTGTAATTGTTTTTCCACTGGGTCAGATTTAGAACTTTATTTTTCAAACAGTTACTCAAAGTCTAAGTTTTGTCTGTGACGTACAGTCTAGAGATCACTACTTATTTTATGTAGTTGGTTTATTTACATGATAATGCACTAGTGTATAGCTACAGAAATTAATTAAATATTTGCTTTATTTATGCTGCTATGTGCCTGTTTCATTTTTACATGTGCATTTCTGTTAGTTTCTTACAACGAACTATTAAGTAATATGTGGAATAATGGACTAATTCTGTAGAAAGCTGGCGCAAAAATTAATTTGCCTGTTTAGAAAATAATTTCAAACATGACCTCAACAATTACTCATTAGGAAACAAATTGTACAGCTGTACAATTATAAGCAATCTTAAACTGGAAATTGTATTTAACTTTGAGTATATCTTAGCTAGTATATTAACTATGGATATTACTGAATCTCAAAAGTAAAGGAAGAAGCAGAAAAAGTGGACAAGTTTGAAAAAGAATGCAAACTGGAAGCCGATATGAAAGAAAAGCAGGTGTGCTCAGTTTTACAATCTAGTATGTACAGCTTTATTTTTGAAATACATCTTGCAGTTTCTTTAATATTTTAACTCTGTTTTGCTTTTGTGTCTTACTGATACATCAAATGAAAATAATTTCTTTAAAAGTGCTTGGTGGTTTGTAAAATATTTGTATTTTGGAAGGATGGAAATTAATATTGCAAATAACCTTTTGATGGCATGTTCCTTCTGTGTTATTTATTTGGAATAAAATGTGAATTAGGCTGCTGTATCATAATAAGGGACATCTTAATGGCAGGATTTAAAAGCACTATGTAAACACTGAGTACTCTTTCTGCTCTCTGTACCTACACTTGCCCTTGTAACAGTGGTTTGTGCAGAAGCATAAAATTAGTAAAGCAGTCATGACTCATGGTAAAGAAAGGTATAGTTCGTATCTGGTAAGAAGGAGGGTGGGAAAAAGGATTATAATGTGTATCAGACCCCAGGCTGGTAAGAGAATTTAGGAATCTGAGATTAGAGTAGTTTTTTTTGTGGTAGTGATGAGGTAGCCATGATGGAAGACTGATTAAGTTGAAGAAATTAATTGTGATAAGAGTTTTTAGTTTGTAAGCAGGACCCTGAGAAGCAGAGCATCCGTCTGTATCTGGGAAGGTCGTGAGCGGTTGGGTTTTTCTGAGGATGGATGTGACATTGCAAAGGGGCGAGGAGTGTTTCTGGGCCTCAGTAAAAAGGACAACAATAACAGTTGGAGCTGCATTTAAGTCAGATTCTGTTAAGTTTAGTCATGTTCCAGTATTGTTACTCTGTTGGAATTCATGTTTTCATTTTGAACTGAAGAGCTTTTTCATCCAGAATAATATGACTTGATCAATATTTGGCTAAGACCGACCACCTTACTTAACTTGAATGACAGCAGTATGTATGCTAATCATACACAGTGCACAAATGAAAATGAGAATCTGTCCTTTTTTCTAGACTTCGTCTTGATATTATTTTAATTTTGTTAGATTTCAGTTCTTACCATACAGAGTGGTGAAAAAGATGATATAATAAGAGACATCAAAGCTCAGCTTCAGGAATCCAGAAATATGATCGCCAACTTAGTAGAAGCAAAAAGTAAGAGTTCTCTCTGCTGTGTTAAAATGTAATTGGTTATAGACGTATAGGAAACAGGATCATGATAATTTTACCCTGTTAGTAGTCAGCAGCAAAATTTTGGGGCCTTGCAGGCTGTATTTTCGTTTGGAACAGAAGCTGCTGATGTGGGATCAGGACTGGTAGTGTGATCTGCGTATGTATAAAATCCAGGCCCTTATTTTATAACAAAGGTTTTCTCTTTAGGCTTAGGCTACACCCTGTTTTTGTATTGACATGACAGCTTCATTGCAAGGGATTTTTCTTTTACTCTTCAATAAACTCTCGTGTGAACATATTATACTACTGTAAAGGTGCCATATACCCTGTCATTCCTTTTTTGTAACAGAACTAAGTTTTACCAGGACAATGTATAACCCTGCCCCTGTTCTGGAGATTTTTCCCATTTCAGTTGGACTTGCGTAGTAAACATAGGATGATAATAGATAAAAGTGTTTTTCCTGGTTGCTGGATTGAGATGTTTCAAACCAAGTTAGTGAAGCGTTTTCAAAGTATAATATTTGTTCAGTAGTCTATAGATAGTAGCCTTGTTCTGCGTTCAACAAGACATGTTTTCACCTCTTTGCCAAATAATCCCCAAAATGTTACAGCTTTTAGATGGAATCTTATTTGCAAATAGGCAAAGGATTGATTGGGATTGGAAATATAACTATTTTTGAAGGGTTTTTTTTTAGATGTGACTCAAGGAGTGAGAGCTTTTGAAGATTGCAAGGGGAAAATACTTTGCTTGAGTTTTGCAAACTTACAGTTAGGTGCTATTGAGGAAACTTTTCAGGACTTCATTTTCAGTATTTTTAAGCTATTTATATTACAAAAGATTTATACTGTATGATGCAAGTACCTTTGTTCTTTAGAACTGAGGCAATATTTCAGCCTCCCCTTCCCTGGGGAGTTAGGAGGAAGGTTTTAGTATCGTTTTTATGCCAGATACATATAAGTGGCTGCATTTTGTTAAATTTTATAAATAGATGTAATTTTACATTTAGTTTGCTGTTACTTAATAAGCTGAATCTTGGAGGCTTTTTCCTTAACAATGACATGAATATATTATGTAACTTGATTAAGTTGTAGGAATGTATTTAGCTGTAAAATAGAAATGCAAGCATTTTTTAGTAAATATGCTGTTTTTCTTATATGTAAGCATCTATCTTTTTGCTTAGGACATGAAGGAGAAATCTTGAAAGAATCCCAGATCAATCAAGAACACTTGAGGGCAGAACTGGAAGAGGCCAAAGTTTCATTGCAAAAAACAGAGGTACAGCTTGCTTATAATTTTCCCGTATAAATAGATTAGATGAGTGATTGCATAAATAATTACTGATACTTTAGATATGGAACAATTGTATCTGTTTGTTGCAAAACATGTTTAGACATTACATAATTTTTTGGTAGGTTACACAAAAAAACTTAGAAACCGAATTGCAGACTGCAGTGAAAGAATTAATTCGGGTCACTGAAGAAAAAGAAGCACAGGTGGAAGAATGTAAAAAAACTAAAGCTTTGCATGCATCCCTAAGAGAGGAGTTTGAGACTTCTGTTGCCAGTTTGAAAAGCTTGCTGCAAAAAGAGCAAAATAGGTAAATGAAACAGTTTAAATTTAAAGAATGATCTTATAGGTAAAATACTAGATTACTGAGCTACTGGAAATAAAACCTAAAATTCATATGTGATCTGGTGTAATTACATTTTTTTTGTAATCACTAACAGCTTTTTTAAAGTCCTTCACCTGTCTGATGATTTAAATTATTAGCACTTGAAGATGGTTATGCTGTTTGATTTTGTGTGGATGCAGCTTTTAACTAAGAGAGCAGTAATCGCATTTAGTACTTCACCGTTCTTTATAATGGAACTTTTAGTGAGGAAGATATTACTCCGTATGCGATAACAATACTGTTTAATGCTGATGCCTATTGTTAATGTATTTCAGGTTTTCCGTAGTTTTAAAAATTATGTATTTGTCAAAGAACCTGATAGCAACAAAAATCAACCTTTCTAAAAATGAGAAAAGAGCAGTAAGGATGTATTTCAATACATTATTGCACCTGAGTTTTTCAAGAAACGATGATTTTGGGTGTGTGGCATTAAGGTGTCTTCTAAGTAGTTGCAGTTTATGACAAATGCAAGAACAAAAGGATATGACGCGGAAATTTGTTTTTTTGACGCACTAGTCTAAATGCAGAGAATTTAGTGTAATTTTTTTCAGTTGTGCTGGTTGATATTGGTCGATAAGAAAGCAAATTTTTCTCCCCTCCCCCCAACTTTCATAATTCTATTTCTAAGAAATACAGGTTTATGTATGTATATATTTGTTTACTTTTGTGTCTGCTGTTCCAAAGTTGTAAAAGTGAAATTTGATACATGTTGCAGGCAGATGTATCACCTGCCTGTTGAAAGGCAAATGTTCTTACAGTGTTTGTGGTAAGACTTTGTCTTACTGTCCTTTGAGTTTCAAGTGCATTGCTTTGTACTATGTATTTTTTTAATTGCCATTTTCTTAGATTGGAGAAATATGAAGATGAGTCAAAGCTACGTACCTTGGAGCTCAAAAATAAGTCTGCTGAACTGGGTAAGATTTGTAGAAAGAAAGAAAACGAGCTAGATAATAATAAAAATATTTTCTACTGTTTTCTGAAAATAGACTGTCCCTATTGCTTGGAAAAATGGTTTTGCAGTACCCTGTACCTGTCAGGAATGCTTAAATTTTTGTTTACTCATCTGACTCCCCTTTCTTTGGTAGTCATTGTAGCTGTGCAGCCCTCCAATAGTAAGACCATACACGCATGGATTCTCCTGGAAGTCGTTTCGGTTTCTCTGCACTCTTCCAGTTACGAGTGATAGCACTTCAGACCTGTTTGAGAGGTAGTGTTAGACTGCTGAACAGAAGGTTCCAGGAGTGACTTCTGTAGCTTGTAGCAGAGACAAAACACTTGCATTAAGTTTTCCTGCAGACCACTCTCTCCATGTTGGATGTAGAATCACACTGACAGTGGTTAGCTTTAAATATTGCTTTGATATCCTGTGATTTCTAGGTATGCGCTCCTTAGCCCCCGGAGTAAGATGTCTATCTTTAGCACTGTTTTCCCAGTGTGCAGCATATGTCTCTGGTCCTGATATGATAGATGAGAAATAGAGTCTGATGTCCTTGCATGTGTTGAGGGCACTTAAAGATAAGCATTCAAAAGTTAACTGCTCATGCTTGTCTAGAACAAGGTGAGACGTGACCTGTTGCAGAGCAAAAATGAGTTTGGTATCCAGTACTTGCAAAAAATACCAGCAATGTGAATGTGCACATAGAAAACATTTTGAAGTTACTAGTAAGTGGTTTCCTTTTTCAGCATATCCATGTGAATATCTTCAGCAGTCCAGATTTTTTTTTCTGGAAAAATGCAGATGCATCGATACTTGGAGGTTACTCCTTTGTAAACATTCTTACAGTCCATGGTTTCTTTGAAGCCATGATTGTGGAAAACATAATAGGCTCTGAATTTTATTTCAGACAAGTAATTAGTTTCTCTTCAGATATGTATTTGCTAATGTCTTTCTGAATAATTTTTTCAATCTACGTTTAGATTAAGTCATAATTTAGGTTATAATTAGCGTTACAATTTCTGAACTTAATCCAACAAGTTTTGAAAATTTGGTACTGCAGAGGGATAAATGCTTTAGACTGCCTGCTAAATGTGTAAAATTATTTCTATTCAATTAATTTTACATTACATGTGCTGTAGAAGAGATGACTAAACTAAAATGTGAGAAAGAAATGCAACTTGAAGAGCTGTCAGAAACACTGGTAAATATTCATTGTATTAGTCTCATGGCATTTACTTTTCATATGAAGTCTCTCTTGCTTTTTAAATATCTTAAATGCCATATATACACACTGTCTAATCTGCCTTAATGCTGCTACTAAACTTTCTACTTGTCTTTTAGAGGATTTCAGTGTTTTCTTTGAAGGACTTGATTCTTTCCATTGTTCTTGTTTTGTTCTGCTTTGTTTTGGTTTTCCTTGTCAACATTTCTGGTCATTTCCTTCTTCATTCACACCTATTCAAATGCCACTCCCTCTGGACATAAAGATATCCTATTTTTAGTTATGTCTAGTACCCTTTCCTCATTCTGAACCTTTCTGAAAAATACTTTTTTTTGTGACGAACATATGACATTTAAGGCTGAGGGATCAAGTAATTTTTGACAGTAAAGATAATTCCTCGAGTGGCTGGCTTTCTTCATAATAATCTTCTCAAAATTAAGCATTGTAAAGGCTTACCTCATTGTGGTGTTTAAAGGATAACCAAGCTTCTGACACCACCCAGAAGAGGCAGTGGAATTTGTGAAAAGGTTATGTGTGACAAAATGAGGAAACTAGTAAGCAATTTCTTAGGTTTCTTACTTCACAAATCTGTTGTGGTTATTTTGCTGTTTGTGGGGTGTTATTTCCGGTGAGGTGTCCTCCATACTGCAGCGTTCAGTATCTAGAAGGCATTGCATAGTGTGTTGGTGCATGTCCCTTTTCAGAGAAGACATTTAAGACCCTGCAGAAAGGTCTTTTGGGTTATAACGCCCTGTTCCATGTATTCCCATTATACTGGATTTTCTTTCCTTACTGATAGGGAAGTTTCCTGAAGTAATTAGCTCTGATCTCGGTGAGCCCTACTGAACTGTGACACAGGCCCATTTTCTGTTTCAGAAGTCTAAGCTATATGAAGTATGCTTTTAATACAGGATTATTTGAGATATGATCTTGTATTTACAAGTCTAACAAGAAACTGTATCAGCTGAAGTAGGGTAATGTGAAATGAGCTTTGCATTTTACCATGTATGTTTGTTCCTTATATACTGTGCATTGATTTCTAAAGTGAGTTTCATTATGTTCTTAAACAGGGAAAAGTTGAAGCACTTCTAGTGAAGAAGAAGGATCTTGAGGCTACTGTAGAAAATTTGCAGGAGAGAGAAAAAGAAATGAAAAATGCGCTCCAAATCAGAGAGGTCTGAATAAAGGGTGGTAGTAACACATTTTTCACATTATCGCTTGTATATAAAAACTTATCACATAGTTCAGTGCTCCACCCAATGCACTGCTCTGCTGGTGACAATGACAGCAGAAGATACTATGTAGTAGAGGAGCCTGACTGTTATCTGTGGTCCGTTCCCCTTACGTTCCTACAGTAGCTGTATTAAGGATGTTTGAGGACACATCCCTGTCTGTTGCCTTTGCTATCAGTTTATGGACTTGTTCATGCGTCTCATCTGTTTTTGAACCTCCTCATACTATTTGCCTCCATAACCTTCTGTGATAAGAAATTCCAGAAGTTCATTATGTGCTGTGCTTAAAAACAAATCCCTCTCTCCCTCCTTCCCCTTGCCCCAGTCAACTGCCTGCCAGTGCCTGTGGTATCAGGGTATCGCCACTTATTTGGAGGAAACAGTATTCAAAGCATTTATATATTATAAACTACACTACATTACAAGGCTTGCCTTATCTTGTAATGGCAGCAAATTTCTGACAGAAGAGATTTGCTTTGTGGTTTGGGATGCATCTAAAATATGTGCTTATTGTATCACATAGTACTGGAATTCTGTGGGTTTTTTTTTTTTATTTATTTGTTTTATTTAGGTGAATGCAAAAGTTTATGATATCCGAAGCAAATGTCTTTTTTAAAATAATGTCCAAGGAAAGCTAATTTTGTCAGTAATTTTGCAGACTAGTTAGACTTACACATTTAGCATTCATATCAGAGTTCAATATCTCACACTACTTCCACATCACAACAGAGAGATGTAAAGACAGGGTCTGGCTAATTTATGGCATGTATGTAGTTTTGTTTCATCTTAAAGCTTTGTGTTGTCAGTTCATTTCTGATAGCTTTCATGACTTGTAATTTACATATGTATACTCAAAACACTTTCTTTTTCTTCTGCAGAAAGAAATCCATGACTTGAAAGTACAACTGACTAGTACAGCTGAAAAGGAACAAAATTATTTAAAAGAGCTTATGACACTGCATACAGATCTTGAACGAGAGGCGTATGATCATTTTTGAAAATACAGTATTAGTTCAATTTTTTTGTGTTACCTAGAAGTTACTCTAATATACAATGAAATTATCTATGATTTTTTCCTAATGAAAATTTTGAACCTATGCACACATCTATGTATGACATCTGTTATATACTAATATATTTATAAATTGCATTGTCTGTATTTATATGTATGTTATTGTTCGATATCTCTGTGACTTAGTTGGGCTAACATGAAGAGAAAGTTTCTGAATTCATTGTTAACCCTGCTTTGAGCTGGATATTGAACTACGTCGTCTTCAACAACCATTATATTTATATAACAGTTGACTCTCATTTTCTTTCCTTCTTCTGTCACTTTTTTGCATCACTGTAACTTTGCTGCAAAGCTTAAATTTGTAGATACAGGCCTGGACTTTTTCCAGCGTGAACTAACATTTTATAATGGATAAATTTAACTTAAAAGGAAATTTCAAAATACTTGTTCTTATTTCTCTTGACCATTTGCTTTAAATTAGGCTAAAGAATGAACAACAAACAGTGTATATCAACAAGCTTTTATTAGAAAAAGAACAAATAGCACAAGAGAAAAGTGATATGGCTACAGAACTCAAGAAACTGCAAGAAAGTCATGAGGCAAGTTGTAAACTTCTAGCTGTTTTTAAAGGACAACATTCAATTTAAAATATAAATCATATGGGAAACTACAACATGACATGGTTCCATAGAGTATATGAACTACTTTTTCTGTTTAAAATGCAAGGGAAGTGCAGTTACCCTTCTGCATAAGGCAGGTCAAGGTACTGCTTTGTATGGCTTCGAATTTTTTAAGATGTCACTTTGAATTTTATTCATTTTACTTACATGGGTCTTTATTTAGGGTATTAGAAAAAAAGAAGAAAGTACAAAGCAGTTAGTTGAAAAGCTGGAAGAAGCAAATGGCCAGCTAAGGCAAGTAAAGCCAAATATTAGTGTACAGTATTATTAAAGGAAGTAGACTCGATTCCTTCAGAGTTAGTCTAAATGTTGTGTTCATATGCTGCTTTGTGATTTTTCAGTTAATGCTTTTTTTAGGCTATATAGCTAAACAGAAACTATTTAGTATCGCTGTTAGCCATGTAGAAGTTTCTACAAATTAGCAATACCTATTGCCACAGGAACAATTTTTGCCATAGCTTTGTATTACATATAGCTATCCTGTTCTGCATTAACATCTTAGGTGTGAAGGAAATTAAAATAGAAGTTGAAAGTTACGAATTAAATGTGAAAAGGTGAAACTGGTTAAATGTACTCTCTGAAGTAGTCTCTGTACCACCAACCCAATAGACAGGCAGCCTTCCATGTTTCATAGATGCATTATGATGCTACAGATTAGAATATATTTGCTCAGGTAAGGGGAACATCTTTCCATGTTTACGAAAACATGTATGTACAGGTCAGACGTTAACTTACCAGACAGACACTTTACATCATCTTAAGAACACTTTCATTGAACAGCTTATGAAGTTCTTATCAATATTAGCAACTCTTTTCAGAAAATAAAGTATGGATTTATTTAGCAGTAGTGAAAAGAAGTTAAGTAAATATTTACTAATGCTTGTTAATTTGGCATTTAGAAATGAACTGGAGTCTCTGAAGGAGATGGCAAAGAAAGGTGAAGAGATTAAAAGTCAACTGGATGAAAGAGAAGAAAATGTATGCCATATCATGTGTTTTATCATGAAAATATCTAACATAACCTGTAGGACAAAATCTAAATGTAAAGCTTCTTTTTTTTTTTTCCCTGCAAAGCTCTACCTAGGGATGTAATCTCTTACAGAGGCTTTCTTCTTTCAGTGCTGCTACTAGTTGAGTCAACATCCATACACATGCTGAGCCCTTTTATTTTAAAAGACAAGGACCTTCAGTGGGATGTTTACTCTTTACACAGAGGCTTAAAAGTCCAGATTTGTTATATTTCAGGCAAACAGAGAACGCCCTTTTTTTTGATTTCCGTATACCCGCTTAGTGATGGATGGGGTATGGATTAGCTTGCAATACGTAACATGAGTTTTAGTTTAAATATGTTCAAATATTTTTACTTTCTTACTGTAGCTTCAAAGTACACCTGTTTTTTTAACATCATAATGGATTTCAAAAGTTTATTGTAAAAGTCAAAGATTTACAATTATAATCCCAGGCTAAGAGTATTGAAAATGAAATTTCAAGGAAGGAAAAGCAGTTGAAGATTCTAGAAAATAAGGAATGAAAATTCATGGACTGTAGAGAACTAAATACAAGATTAGTTTTTCAATTGCGAAGTTACTTTTTTTTTTTTTTCCTTCTTTCTAAACTCTGTGACCACAGAGGAACTGGTTCACTGCTATTAATGTTGATGATATTGGGCTAGCAAAATTCTTGTAGTACTTTATGGTTAAAACTCCAATCACTGTAACCCCCGTTAGCATGTGTTTCAGTCCCATCGGAGTTAGTCAGACTTCTTAAAATGCTTGTTTAAGGACATTGACAGTAATCTCTAACGCAGTGAGTCAGGACTTCATTAATAAATGTTTGAAATATCTCTTTTAGTTGAGTAATTTAAAGAAACAGGTGGAAAATAAAGCCAAGTGCATTGAAGAGTTGCAACAGGAGGTATGTACAGCTCTGTATGCATGTACAGTCACAAAACCATGGTATTTTGTGCTAACTTACTTTTCAGCAGTTTTTGTCTGGTGTGATAACTTTAGATGTATCTATGTAATTTATAACATTTCCTTTCTTGTCCTAACTGAGGAAATTAAGGAGTCACCATTGGAATTACTTGTTTTGTAAAATTATCCTTACTCTTGAAAAATGCAATTACAGAAACAGTATCTTTAATAAACTTCTACTGTTTTCATTTAGTACATGGTATCATTGATATACTTGAAATAATGACCTATCTCAGATACCAATACTAGAAAAGAATTATGCATTAGGACAAATTGTTAATAACTGTACTGTCAAAATACATAACTTGTATTATTTGTCATGATACCTGCACATTTTCTGTCAGCAGCATCTTGGGTTTTCTTCCTATTCTGCACCCTCTTTCATTACTCTCTGTTGTTGCCCTTGAGGAGTCTTTCATAAGGTCGTGAAGTAGCAGTATTATTTCAGTAGCTGAGCACTGTTTTGTTTGGAGAATTGATCTGGAACCTGAACTGCACAACAAAAAGAGAGTTACTTGCTTGCTGAGGGCTGGAATTTTGAAGATCCTGACCTACTTGATGCAGATAAATCATTACATAATTCTATTGACTTATTAAAGTGTGGTATTTGTTTTACTTTATTTTAACAGAATAAGGTGCTGAAAAAGAAAATTACTGCAGAAATCAAGAAAACAAGTATTTTTGAAGGGAAGGTAGGTTTAAATAACTTCATGTACAAGATGAGGGTAAAGCACAAAGACTGAATGTTTGAAGTCCCAGTGTAACTGATGATAATACCTGTTAAACATGTTCTTAATTGTTTTATGGATCTGGGATACAGATTTTATAGGAATGAGCCCATAATTTTTGGAAGATGCTTCCATTTCTAATCATTGCACACTGACTGGACTATCAGACATTTGTAAGAGATGGACATCACATCTCAAGGAGTTATGTTCCTAATCAGCCCCTTTCTTTTTTGGTTGATAGTGTATTGAACGTTATTCAGTAATGCCACCCCACTGAAATAGCAAAGTAATTACAAGAAATACATATATTATTCACTTTAGGCACTTCTTTTACTGTGTTCTGCAACGGTAAGTCCCTGATTAGAATATTGTGTGCAGTTTTGGATACCACACTTCAAGAAAGATGTAGACTGTTTTGAGGGTATTCTTATGAGAAACTTAAAAGGAAAAATTATAATCAAAATGCACACTTGGGAGGAAAACATACTATAAAACAGTTAAAATCCTAAACAGATGTATAAGGGAGGGAATAAAATTTCTATCTGTATCTTTTTTCTGAAGAATTCACAGCATTTGGGGTGACTGCTTAGGAATAGACTCTTCCTATTTGTTTCATACCAAATTCTCATTAATATTAGCAGCTAAAAGGAATTAATCTTTTTTTAGAACTAAATAAAATTCTGAAAATAAACTATTTCTAGATAAACTGTTTCTTCACTTCTTAATTGAAAAAAAGATGGAACTGTAAACATCATACAGTCATACTGCTGAGTCTTAGGAGACTATCTTAAGGAGACTGTCAGTTACGTTTCATTTTCCTACTTTGCATTCCATGCCAGCAATACTGAAGAAGCTTTTGTACCAAAGGCAGAATAGTGTCAGATTGCTAATGGATGGTTCTGTTATATTGGAACGATTCTTTGTGATTGACTAGCCTCTAGTTTTAGGACTGTTTTGTTGACCGGGGTGCACAAAACTGGTATGGGCTATCTTTCCCATTGTAGTGCTGCCATTGTTTCTATGAATATTTTCCAACTTGCTTCAGGCCAAAGTTCAACTCTTTATGAAAAAAGCTGAACACTAAATAGGAAATAGTTCAATCATATACCTGAAAAGTAACAGAGTGGGTCTGCTTGAAAATAAGAGGTTAAAAAAAAAAAAAATTGGCATATTTATTCCTGAAGAAATAACAGCAATAATTCTGCATTCTCAAAAGGTGAATAAATTACAGTTAGAGATGGAAAATAGGAACAAGCAACATGAGGAAACAGTTGACATCTATCAAAAAGACATTGAAACAACAAAAGTAAATGAAAATAAACTTCTTGAAGAGGTGAGATTTGTTAACTTTTACTGCAAGTTTTAATTATTTTTTGATGTATGATGGTTTTATGAAGCTGTATTGGCCAGAGTCCCCGCTCTTACGTAGCAGTCTGATCAACATAAATGGAACTTCTTGTGTATGCGTGTGAGCAAAGCTTTAGTACATTAGATCCTTAAGTTGAAGTATTTGTATATGTCTTTAAAAATAAGAACCCAGTTAAAAATTCTTTTTGTCAAGATATTTTTCACAGATATTCTATTCTTGGTATAAATGCAGCATAAGCAAATTAGATTATAACTTTTCCCATATTACTATTTTCCTGCCCACACTTTTTGGATGGTAATATCCAAAAATGTTAGGACAGAGTGCTTGAAATGGCCTTGTGCTTCAAAATGACACTTGTCCGCCATGGAAGAATGGATGTATTTTTAATTTAGGTTTATGTCCTGGTTTCGGCTGTGATAGAGTGTTTTTTGGTTGGGTGTGGGTTTTTGAGGTTTGTTTTTTTTTTTGTCCTAGTAGCTGGCATAGTGCTGTGTTTTGGATTTAGTATGAGAATAATGTTGATAACGACACTGATGTTTTAGTTGTTGCGAAGTAGTGCTTGCACTAGTAAAGGACTTTGCAGCTTCTCATGCCCTGCCGTCGAGAAGCTGGGAGGGGGCACAGCCAGGGCAGCTGCCCCAAACTGCCCCAAGGGCTATTCCATACCGTATGACACCATGCTCAGTATAGAAACTGGGGGGAGTTGGCTGGGGGAGGACTGCTGCTCGGGAACTGGCTGGGCATCGGTCGGCGGGTGGTGAGCAATGGCATTGTGCATCACTTGCTTTGGATATACTTTTACCATTGTTGTTATTTATTTCCCCTTCCTTTTCTGTCCTAATAAACTGCCTTTATCTCAACCCACGAATTTTGCTTCCCCCCACCTCCCGCTTTCTTTTTTTCTGATTCTCTCCCCTGTCCCACTGCAGGGAGCATGGGGAGTGAGCAAACAGCTGTGTGGTGTTAAGCTGCCTTCCAGGTTAAACCACAACAGTTTATTTGCCCATTTTAACAATATGTATAAAAGATGTAGGATTTGAAGAGCATCTTAAAAGCAAATGAAAGCTACACTAAATGAGACTATATATATGTTGCACCCACAGGGGTAAGAAGAAATGAAACTAAGATTTTTTTAAAATACATTGTTGTTAATTGTTCATGAATTGAAATGAAACTTGTTACTAACAGGTAGAAAAGATGAGGTTGCTTGCTGATGAAGCAACAATAAGACAGAGAGAAATTGATATCCGATGTCAACACAAGATAACTGAAATGGTGGCACTTATGGAAAAACACAAGGTAAGAGATTTTACTGATTTCTGTGATTTGTAATGTGTGATACTACATTAAGTAAAAACCTTTCCAAACCAGAATATTATGAATTAGAAAGTGAAACTTCATAATAAAGACCTGAGTCTAGGAAAACAAAGTTGAACACATGCTTGACTTTTCATCATCTAAAAACAAATTCATCTTCAGATTTTGAAAACACGCCTACTGGCAGATAAATTCAATTTATCTAAATTCCTAGTATTTTTTTTTTTGTATTCAGGCTTCCTTTGATACCATCCTAATGCAGTGTTCTTTGGTATCAGTTTGGGCCTCTTTTTATGAGATTACTCAGTGACCTTCAGCAGTTTAACTTACCATATTTTAATTTACATTCCTTATTACTCTGTTTTGCAGCACAGTTAGCAGATACCATTAATAAAAATAATATGGCTAGCTTTTATGTGCTAGAACACGTACCACTGCCTAGAGATAAAGCATTCTCTGTCAGCCCACAAAATAATACTGCTTGCGCATTTTCTGGTTTATAGTTTCTGCTGAAGCGTCAATGTTTGTTCATAGTGCTTTCTCAGTCTTCAGAAGAGCCTTATTTGAAAAAATGAGTTATGTTTTAAGGTAGATCTATAATTGTAACATTTAGCCAAATGTTTTGGGCTTTTTTTTTTTTAACACAGCATGAATATGACAAAATAGTTGAAGAAAAAGATAGAGAGTTAAAACATTATAAAATTAAAGAGCAAGAGCAGTTATCATCAAAAAGATCATTGGTAAGGCATATTCTTCAGCACTAAATAATTAAATGGAGGGGCTGCTGTCCTTAAAGTGTAATGTAATTATAAATATCCTATTAGACTTCTTCCTATTTAACACTTGGGGGGGGTTAAGTGTCTGCTTTAGTGGGACTGAACAGTAAAAATCAACCCACTAACTTCTGTTTACTGTTATTTTCTTACAGATTTTATTATGTGCATTAAAAAAAACCCAGATGTTTCTAAAAATAAATTGGAGTAGCTATGCTTTTCTGTCTACTTTTCCTGGTAGTGCGCCTTGTTCTAACCTCGCTGTCTGAATAAGAAACTTTTGTATTAAATAGTTGGATTCCGCCCCTCACCCCACTGTTCTCACAAGTGTTTTAAGTTCTTACCTTGAACAGTTCTGGTCGAGTACCTGTTTCTTAGTAGTACTTCAGCTCTTTTCAAAACAAACTAAAAAAAAACTTCAAGTCCAGAATTGCATTGCTTTTGGGTTTTCTTTTTTTTTTTTCTTTTTCCTTTCTGCAAAGCTTAGCGTTGAGAAATGTTCTGAGAGCCACCATCTCCTCAAGACTTTCACAAAAGTGTAGTTCTACAGCATCTGCTTAAAATGCAGTATTTTTCTGACATTTGCCTTCACAGCATATTTCTTTGGAGCTTTTTTTCAGTTAGATTTTTTTAATAGAAGGTGGTGTGACTCAAATTTTTTTTTTAATTTGGTAACTGCTTCTTTGATCATCTGTTACTCTAGTGATTGAATCGTTCTGAAAAAGCATTGTAGATACCTCCCGGCATGCTAACTTTATGGATAAGTTAGCTCTCTGGAACAAATGGAATTTTCTTTTTTTTATAATGAATATCCCTATTAATTACTGTCTCCTTTGGACTGTTTTCTTTCTTCCAGGTTAAGCATAGTTAACCCTATCCTTTATCTAATTGTTTTTAGGAAAGTGAGCTGTCATGTTTGAAAAGCGAACTGTCATCTCTTAAGGAACAACTTAAAGCAGAAATTGAAGAGAAGGTATTTTTTTTTTATTAAATGTAGCAGTATGGGTGACATGCTTGGCCTGGTCTTATGCACTATAATGATGACAGCTGTGAAGTGCACTTTAGGTCTTCCTCTCACACGCTGTCCGATTTCAAGAGCTTGATGCTCTCTGAAGCCATTATGTCTCATTTCTGGCGGTAGTGAATGTTTTGCATTACTCCTTAATTGGTAAGTATGAGGGAAACAGGGAGAAATTGAAACCCTATGAAGAGCTGTCCAAGCTTGCAGGGATGATGTCAGGAAAGCCAAAGCCAATATGGAGGTAAAACTGACAAGAGAAGTGAAGGGCAACAAGAAAGGCTTCTACAGGACCTGCTGCCAAATGTGGCAGGAGTTCTGATGACAAAGAAAAAGGCTGCGGTACTTAATGGGACCTGAAAAGTCTGGAAGAAGGAAGACTTGCCCTTGGTGGAGGAGGATCAGGTTAGGGAATTTTTAAACAACCTGGACATACATAAGTCCATGGGATCTGATGGGATACACGCATAAGGGCTGAGGTAGGTGGCCAGTATCATTGCAAAGCCACTCTCGATTGTCTTCAAAAGGTCATGGTAACTGGCAGAGGTTCCTGAGGACTTGAAAGCAAATGTCCCTGCTACCTTCAGGAAGGGCAAGAAGGAGGATCTGGTGGAAATGTAGGCTAGTCAGCCTCACCTCCGTCCCTGGAAAGGTGATGGAACAAGTAATCCTGGAAACCATTTCCAAACATATGAAGGACAAGAAGGTGACTGGGAGTAGTCAGCATAGATTTATATGAAGGGGCAATTGTGCTTAACCAACCGGATTGCCTTCTATGATGAGATGACTGACTTGGCAGATGAGAGGAGAATGCTGGATGTTGTTTATCTCAGGCTTAGTAAGGCTTCAACACTGTCTCTCGTAACATCGTTATAGGCAAACTGATAGGTGATTGGACAGTAAAGGAGATTTAAAACTGGCCAAACTGCTGGGCTTAAGGGATTGCAATTAGCGTGGCACAAAGTCCAGCTGGAGGCCAGTTGCTGGTGACGTACAGGGTCGATTCTGGGTCCAATGCTGTTTAACGTCTTCATTAACGACGTAGATGATGGGACAGGGTGCAGCCTCAGTAAGTTTGCAGATGATACAGAATTGGGAGAAATGGTTGATACAGCAGGTGGCTGTGCTGTCTTTCAGAGGGATCTGGACAGGCTGGAGACACGGGTGAACAGGAATCCCATGAGGTTTAACAGAGGGAAATGTGAAGTCCTGCACTGGGGAAGCAATAACTTTTAGAACTGGTACAGGTTAGGGGCTGACAGGCTTGAAAGCAGGTTTGCCGGAAAAGCCCTGGGGTTCTGGTGAACAGCAAGTTGAATACAAGCCAGAAATGTGCTCAGCATCTTAGACTGCATGAGGAAGAATGTTGCCAGCAGGTCAAGGGAGCTGATCCTTTTCCTATACTCAGCACTGGTGAGACCACATTTAGAGTGTTATTTCCAGTTCTGGGCTGCCCAGTACAAGACAGACAAGGGTATACTGCAGCAAAAGGCCATGAAGATCATGAAGGGATGGGGGCATCTGACAGAAAAGAGGGACTGAGAGAGCTGTGATAGTTGAGCCTCAAGAAGAGAAAGCTCAGGGTCATATTATCAGTGTATAAATACCTTATGGGAGGGAGTAAAGAAGATGGAGCAACACTTCCTCAGTGGTATCTAGTGAAAGAACAAGAGGCAATGGGAACAAAATTAAGCACAAGAAATACCATTTAAACACAAGAAAAAACACTATTACTGTAAGGGCAATAAAACACAGGAACAGGCTGCCTAAAGAGGTTGTGGAGTCTCCATGCTTGGAGACATTCAAAACCCCGCTGGACACAGTCCTGATAAATCTACCGCAGTTTGCTCTGCGGCGAAAAAAATCCCTTGGGTGGTCCATCATTAAAGGTTTGTAACTCATAATAGTGAATTGTTCCTGTTCTATTTTTCTGACTGTATTTCTTACTTCTCTCGAGATGCTAACTTATTTTTTGTTGTGATAAGCAGGGATTTAAAAGGTAGATAGCCACAAAAAAAAAAAAAAAAAAAAGTATTCCACAGTGATATTAGAAAGCAGTTTATGTAAGGGCTCCCACTGTGTGTCATTTTTCTTGCTCAGTTACTCAATTTGTCTGTTACCATTGATCAGTAACGATTCCTGCCCTAGAGGGACTGTGAATTTAATAATGTCTCCAGAATTCTTGTACGTGGTCTTAAAAGAAGAGTGTTGTCTGTTTGTAAAGGCACATTTTTCTCTATGGAACAGAAAATAGCTTGTGTAGCTGTAAAAATTATCAAAGTATTCCTGACTGCTTCATCATAACTGTAAAACCTATGATTCTACCCTGTCAGAAGCTCACGTGATGTTTCCATCTTAACAATAGAAACAACTACCATTTTTGTGTTACCCTTTCTAAAAAAGGATTGCATTGTTCCATTGCAATATTTCCGAGAAGTTTAACTTCTGGTGAAAGAACTATTTAAGTAAAACCAATCTGGTTCTTGATATCACTATCAATGTCTTTCTGAAAGCTTTTTCCTGCAGTTTTATTTGTGGTTTTTTTAAATGTTGGTTATAGTCTGCATGTAGTGACTACAGTTCAGAATAACCTGAATTTCTGCAGATAAGCATGAAGTTAGATAGTGTGCCATAAAATGCAGTTCTTCCACAGCTTCCCGTTCATTCTCCTTGTTTGGCAACAAAAAAAAGGAATTTTTCTTTTTTTTTTCCTTTGTTTGTGTCTTTGCTTCGCATTCTGGATGGAAAGATAATTGTTCCACAGCATCCCTCTAGTGTCTTCCTGGATATTCAGTTTGTAAACGGGGTTATGAGTTTGGTTTTAGATTCTATAATTACCACTGAAAATGTACTTTTTAATGCCATCTTTTTCTTTCCCAGACATATATTATAAAGACTCCTCCAATACATGAACTGCAAAGTGAAAGCACAAATCTGCGTTCAGAACAGTGCACGAGGAAAAAGCAAAGAGTGCTTCTACGGCTGGATGCTCAGTCAGATAGCTCTGAACACAGTGACCTCCTGGTAAAAATCAGAGAACAGATAGTGTACTTAACAGTTCTTCATGCATACTGCTATATCTAAGAATGTATATAAAGCATGTGGCGTTCTGTATCCAAGACAATATTTGTGTGTATATTTTTATTTCATTGGTTCTTTCTAGAATTGTATTCATATGTACATAATTAGACTATGACAAACAGAGTACCACTATACAAAAATATATATTAACTGTTATAATGATTTCCTACCTTGTTTTTATTGACTTGTTGAGGCTTCATAGTAACTGCTTAACTTTTTTTTTCCATACTCTAATATTCCTAGGGGGAAAGAAAATACCTTTTTTTAATATGGTGTGATTAAGTTAACTTTTTTATTTTTAATTTAAGAGCCTCATCTTAGAGGAAGAAATGTTTCAAAAATTGTATAAAGATGATCCTCAAGCTTCACAATTATATGCCGTGACACCAAAAAAGGTACCTTAGCTTTTCTTCAGATCAAAACAAACAGTTAATCAAATTGGTTGTAGAAACGAATGGATGGCTTTATTTTTCTTCTTAGAAACCAACTATATCAAATGAAAAATCTCCAGGCTCTGCACTGAAACGTAAAGCCGTGAGAAGAATGCGAGGGGCTGGAGGGACTGCAGTTTCTCAAATGGACAGCAAAAGAAAAATTAAAGAAGCTGAAAAGCTCTTTACTTAAAATGATAAAATTACTAGTGCCCTAGCATTATTTGATTACTACAACCACATTGTTGCATTTTTCTGTCATACTCAGTACATTGTTGCATTTTTCTGTCATACTCAGTATGTTTAATAGTACTTTCATTGCCTTTATACACATAAACTTTATAGATACAGAACTACATCCTCCTGCAGAGCATTTTCTACATTTCACTCCCTATGCTATAAAAAGTTGGGAGACAAATTAGCCCATTTTTTAAGTTTAGAAATAAGTATAACTACATAGGAAGCTGTTGCAAAAAGAAAAAGTCTGGCATTAGAAATAGTGGTTTAAAGAAATGCAGTTTTGTTCTTTTAAATTTATTCTCTCTTAATACATAATTCACAAAAGGATATTACTTAGTGAAAGAACTACTGAAGCTGTTAAAATGCATGCACTTTTACTTGAAGTCATCTTGCTTTTTTGTTCATTTTAAGTGTTGTCAGAACTGTCTTTTTAGACTGTTTTGTTTTCAGTAGCTACTATTTCAGTATGTTAAAACAGTTTTGAAACTTCTAAAATTGCATTTTCAATAGAATTACTTTGATTTAAAAAGATTTGAGCACATAACGTGTGCAAAATATGCACACGTTTTAAGATTGTAAAAACAATGTTAAGATGTTACTAAATTGTTTTTCTGAAATGTGAAGTGGGGCCAAATGTTGTTGCTTTATGTATTAGAACACAGATATAAATCACCAGGCAGCCTTCCTAAGGACTAACAGCTTCTGCCATGTACATGTAAGAATAGTTTAGAGTAACATATATTTCTGCGTTAATCCTTGATTAATCTTGGTTTCGCAACAACAACAAAAACCTGCTTCAGAGCGTAGAGATAACAAGAAAACTACAGGTACATCTCAAAATGTTATGAAAAAATCAAAATCCTGGATTTATCTGAACGTGGGTAGCAAAACATACATACTTCATTCTTTTTGGGTAGCAATTTTGGTATAGGCCAGTAGTTTGGGTTCCTTATGCCTTATCTGTTAAGCAGTGACATTAATAATTATTTTATTTTGTATGTTACTGGCAAGTACTCCCCAAAGATCTGAAAGCATATACTGGGGTTTTCCTCCATATTTGGAAATGGATTCTGTTACGCAAGCAAATTTTCTGAGAAGTTAGAATGACTTTTCTTGCTGGAAAGATACTTCACATGTTTGCGGAATAGTGAGGTTTTATAATATATCTGTTTACATAGTGTAAATTAGACCAAACGAAGAACAGGAGCTGTTTATAACACACAAATTCCAGATGTCTGTTCTTTCCAAGAAAGATTATTTTACCATAAGTAAAGTAATCCATTTAAATCTCGCCCAGATCCATTAGTTACTTATTTTTTGACTGGATACAGAGAATGTTACGCAAAGTCAGTTATTGTTAATTTTAGTTCAGGGTGTTATTTACTAATATCTCTTCAGCTACTTTGCAGGAAAAAGAAAATGCAGTCACTGGAAATGCAACATATATGTGCAGTTTGTCATTTATTTTAATAGGGGTGGTGTTTTATACAAGATCCAAATACCTGCCAAGGTTTGTTACTTCATTTCAAGATGGTGTATTTCTAATGTTGACTACTGCTGTTGTGGACATCTTCAACAGATATGCAGACGCGACTCCTAAACTAGTTGCTGAGCAATCAAAAATAAAAATTCCAATTGTTTCTGAGTATAATGAGACTTCTACTACTTAGTCTTCTCAGCTATGGCTCACACATAGATCCATGAATGATAATTTTGCAATCTTGAAGTTAAGATTCAAAATCCACATCAAACCTAGCCTAGCCACATTCATAGCTTTGCTCATGCCAGAATGTGATATTTGAATGCCTTGCTATAAAAAAGAGGATTTAAATGATTGTTTATGGAGATTTTACATGGAAAATAAATCGGTATCTACCAAACATGATTACCAGTATAGTGGTGTGTGTACAGTGTCTGACATTGTAGGAAAAGAAATGGCAAGAAACTTAAGCAGTAAGAATTAGAAATGCTAGTTAACTATTGTAGGAGTTTCTGCATGTCACAGTGAGTCTTGTGGTAATTAAAGTGTCTTCAAGGTGCAGAAAAGTCTTTCCACTTGAATAGGTAAAAATTCAAGCCTGTACTGCCCACATCTAGACTCAAATGGTAAGTAATCAGTTAGGAGCTCGTTATTTTCCAGTACTGTCATGGCAGGGTTGTGAATCTGTGGTGCATCATGCAATCCTCCTGATGTCATGAGTGTCTCGTGTGGTGTACTGTATAAATCGTCTAGAAAATTGCAAAAATACTGTTAGTGACGCTACAGAAAGCTTACAGGAAATGTAATCAACTAGGAAGGATGTAAAATCATTTTTGCCTCATACTATGCCTGTTTCTGTGAATGGACTATATATAGTAAATAAAACTGAAAATATAAACAACTTTGTCAGGCATTAATCCAGTTTGTGTAGGAAAAGCCAATTAAAATGAATAAATGTATGTGCTTTGGCTTGTGAATCCTTCAGGTAGCACACAATTCAAAAAAGTAAAAATTGAAAGCTGCTAGCAGCAGCTGTGCATAGTAGTCAATATTGACACTTTTATCTGAGGCATTTTATTGAAGTTTTAAAGGCTATATTCTGGTATTAGCCATGATACTTGTTATTGGCTAGTCCCATTTACTGCAAGTAAAGAGAGAGAGAGAGATGTGCTTTATTTAACAGTATTAGCAAGATAAGCTTATTTCTAAATGCCTTTTTCACAAGGTTTTAAAAAGTATATTAACTTGTGCTGATAAATGTAGTTATCAATTAAGTTATCAATTAAACAGAATATTTCCTTTTTTCAGTGCTATTTCCAGTGAAATACATATCCATGCTATATTTGTTGCATTTCTTTTTACTCTGGGCCTTTACTAATCAATTTTAAGGAGGATGTGGCCTTCAGTGTCTGAGGTATAATCTGTCTTCCAAGCAAGAATAAAATTGATAATGACTGCGGATACCAGTTTATTACTTCTTTCAGCAGAGCAGCTGAGGACCTGCAGCTCCCAACAGGAAGTTTGTCGATACCAGGTTACCTTCACTTAAAGCAAGCATTGGAAATGTTGGTATCTATTATTACTTCCCTTCATAATATTGCTAACACAGTTCTCCAGCTCCTTTTCTGTCAAATACTTCAAGGAGGGTGAGCAGTGCTCTGGCCTTACCACATCTGCCGTCTTCCTGTCATCCTTATTTACCACGTGTGCGATTTTTTTCTCTAGTACTTTAAATATTTTTTCCTTTTTTTCTAAGGCAGATGCTATCGCTTTCCTGCTATCACCTCTTCAACCCCCCCATGAACAGAACAGTATGTCCTAGCCCTTCAAACTTTTACATTGTCCTCAAGTTCTCCATACAGCTCTTCATCTGTGCTGTGGCTGCAACTCAAATAAACGGGTCTGGCCCCAGCGATTCAAGGAAATGCTGCTGTCGTATGTCGTGACACGTAGCTGAAGCCTGGGTTGTGTGATTTGGAGTCAGGGCTTCAAGGATGTTAACTGGCATGGTTGCGAAAAGCCGATCGCTTGGTTTCAGCATTTCTGATGTTGCTCGACTCGCAGCTCTTTTAAATGATAAAAATGTAGGTGGCAGAGTGACAACCAGCTCGAGCCTCGTGGTATCTTGAGGACTTCTGTGTGTGGTGAGTGGTGTTACGTGCAACGTGTGCCAGATGCGATGTGGCTATTAAAGCAGAGGAACCGCTCCTGTCCATTCTGAGCCTTCCTGTATTCCAGCTGAGAGCTGCATTTTGCACCTTGGTTTGATTGACTTGAGCTGAAATACTGGGTGCTATAAAACTTACTGTTGTTTTTCCAGATCCATGCTGTGTCTTTGTATGGTCTCTTTTATAAGAAATACATAATCTTTGGCCTGAACAAAGTCCTTTGCCATAAGGTAACCACAAGTGAAAAGGACTGGAAAATGCATAGCTTGAATTCCGTTCATTATATTGTCTCACTTTTCTTGTTCAGCAGTGACTTTATTTGTCTTTGTTTAATCTGCCCTTTCCTCATTTTCTGAATTGCCTTGGGAACAAATAATAGTTTTCCTTGAATTTACTTACTGGATAACCGAGTAGCCCTGGGTCTACAGATTGTAAAATGTATATATTAAAAGAGATGATTCAATTTAAATACTTATGTTGGCCATATGTTTAATGCACGATCTCAAATTTCTGGTGCAGATAGCTGCTTTTAATTGAGAATTATTTTTTCTATGTGATAAGTAATAACTTTTTAGTACGCCTGTCTGTTAAAACAGCCTAAAACAAAAGCAGAAAAGGGGAAAGCCTAAAAAGTTGAATTGAAAATTCAGTTCTGAGAAGACAAATAATGAGCACGTACCTATTCTAATGCTCGTCCTGGATCTCTCATAAAATATTCAAATGTCAAGTCAGTATCACTTGTCCATCATGGCTTTATTAAGCGCAGGAAGTTTCAAAATTATTAGCTTGTTATTTCATTAGTACAGAGTGTTGGGTGTTTACTCAAAAGTTGAATTTTTAAAATGAATGTTCTGACCCCTGTTATTACCCAGTACTTGTATTTAAACTCTCCACTGGATAAGACTGAGAGATGCAGCAAGAGACTCGTATCTTGTGATAGCACTGTATAAAGGCAGGCTTTCCCCAGCAAGGGGTCCAAAAATGTATCTCTTGGGTCTGTTTTCTTTGTTAATAAATGCACAGCATATCGTGCAACAGTGTTTTTTATGATGTACTGTGTCGTGAAATGGAATACTCTAGGATTGTGATGAAACTTGATACAGTATTACGAGTATTTCAAATCGGACCACAAGGTTATTTGGACAACTTCAGAAAACACACATTTCGTATCTATCTTAAAAAAGAAGAATGTAACCGCTGCCAGAGTTTAAAACTACAGCGGAGGCTTAGCATAGGCGAGCAGTTCCGGGTGTATTGCAGTTGTCACTCAACGCTACTGATAGTTCTTTCCAAATGGTATTTAAA